TACGTAACCTAGGAAGTTACATTTATTAATGTTCTTTAGTTGTTTTCATGGCTTCATGTTACTGTCTGGTATCCTTTCCTTTTGGACTAAAGGACTCCCTATAGCATTTCTCATATGGAATGTCTGCTGCAAATGAACTCCCTCAGCTTTTATCTGGAAATGTCTTAACTTTTCCTTCATTCTTGAAGGATAGTTTTTCTGGATATAGAGTTCTTGGTTAACAGTTTTTTCTTTCATTTCTTTAAATATGTCCCACTGCCTCCTGGCCTCCATGGTTAGTCTTTTTAAGTTTTTTATTTTTATTTTTGGCATCTGGCCCATGGTTAATCTTATTGAGGATCACTTGTATGTGATGAGTTGCTTCTGTCTCTCTGCTTTCAAATTTCTTTCCTTGGATTTGGGTTTTAACAGTTTGGCTTTAATACATTTCAGTGTGGATCTCTTTGAGTTTGTCCTGTATGGAGTTTGTTGAGTTTCTTAGATATATATACAGATGGTCCCCAACTTATGATGATTTGAGTTATGATTTTTCAATTTTATCATCAGAATGTAACCCCATTGTAGTCCTGTATGGAGTTTGTTGAGTTTCTTAGATATATATACAGATGGTCCCCAACTTATGATGGTTTGAGTTATGATTTTTCAATTTTATCATCAGAATGTAACCCCATTGTAAGTTGAGTAGCATCTGAATTTATGATGGTTTGACTTAAGATTTTTTGACTTTACAGTGGGTTGGTTGATTGGTGTATTAAGTATATTTTCAACTTATGATATTTTTGACTTATGATGGGTTATCAGGACGTAACCCCATCATAAATCGATGGGCATCTGTATCTGTGTCTTTTATGAAATTTGGGAAGTTTTTGGCCATTATTTCTTCAAATATTTTATATAGCCCTTTCTCTTTTTTTCTGGCATTCCTATAATGTGTATGGTGGTATGATTGAGGGTTACCCACAGGTCCCTCTTGCTCTGTTCATTTTTCTCTTTTTTTCCCCCCCTGTTCTCAGACTGGATAATTTCAATTGTTTTATCTTCAAGTTCTCTGATCCTTTCTTTTGCCTGGTCAGATCTGCCATCAAACTCCTCTAGTGAATTTTTCATTTCAGTTATTGTACTTTTCAAGTTTGGAATTTCTGCTTGGTTACTGTTTATAATTTCTGTCTCTTTATGGTCTTCTCATTTTGTTCAGACATTGTTTTCCTAATTTCCTTTAATTCTTTTTCCACAGTTTCCTTTAGGTCATTGAACATATTTAAGATAGTTCATATAACATCTTTGACTAGTAATTCCAATGTCTGGGTTTCCTCAGGGATGGTTTCTGTTGAATTCTTTTTTTTTTTTTTCCTTTTTGTCTCTTTTTTTGTGACCGGCAACGGATCGCAACCCT